ATACTCTCTTCCTTTAGGATAAAAATTAAAGATGGCGACTCTTATTTTAAAACCAGTTGCAACATTTGTGCAGAAACACATGTTTTTCCCCCGAGTGCAGTTTCATTCCGCATCGAGAATCAGAAGCCTTGGTGTCTGTGTGACTAATGTATGGACTATATGATATTGTGATATGATCACTGATATGGTAAATCATGAATATGTATAATTATTATATGCAAAGTGTTGGAATTGCATTATGTTGTAAATGCTATATGTGATCATCTTTTTTATTCCTGTTTGTTTCGGTTGAACGTTCAGATGTGTTGCCTGTGTGGCTTGATGTGATTGTGATGATTTGACTTATGTGTGAATTGAAGTAGACCTATGATACTAGGTAGTAAGTCCCTTATGAAAGGTACAACCGTTATGATGGAAGCAAGTGAGGGTCTTTATGGCGTTTCCAACTTGGATAACCCATCAGTGTTTACGGCATGTACAACCATTGCGATGGAAGCAAGTGAAGATCTATATGGCATTTACCACTTAGATAAATCATCGGCGTTATCGGTATATCATACACACCTGATCTACATTTTGATGGAAGCAACTGAGGGTCTTTATGGCGTTTCCCACTTGGATAACTCATTTGCGTGCTTGGTATGGTGAGTTAGTGATGCCCCATATGAAACAACACTTCAGATACTCACCTCTAGTGATGCCAAGTAGGCTACATATCTACGCTTTCGCTTGATGGGCTTGTGTTGTCAAGATGGCATTTTTGTGCTATGCATGATATGTTTCCATCACACGTGCATTTTGATGATTGGTGGGATCCTGACCCCACTTAGGCAATGTCATGGAGGTAACTCGCAACAGGTGGAATTCTACATGGAACTCATCTGTTTCGTCTAGTTGTGTGTTTGTGCAAGTCTCTTGACGTGATACACATTGAATAACTCATCGAGGGTGTGGGAAACATGGGCCTATGTAGGCGGGCAAGTAAACTTACTTCTGGATTCCTCATACGTGGTACGGGTCTGCATATTTGTCTGTGTTTGACTATGTGCTTATTGTTACCTCATTGGTTAGTTATGAGACTTCCAATGATGGTTTTACCTCTTGTTGTGTATATTTGCACCAGACCGTGAGGAAACCCTGGATACATGGAGGATCTATGTTGATTGCATGCACCCTATAGAACCGAGTGAATCCATAAGATAGGGGAGCTCAATTATATTTAGTAATCTCACATTAATCCTCATATTATTTTTCAGGAACAGGTTATAGGAAGAAGAATTGCTAGATGATTGGTATTGAAAATAACGGGCGAGCAGATGGCAGAAAGACCTCATCAGATCTTATCTTTCTGCTACGTATTGTTTTAGATAAGCTGATAGTATGCATTCTGATATTAGAGTTGTTTTGTATAAGATTTTAATTTCTTGTCTTTTTCAGCTTGTGTATGTTTCTATGTACTATTTATAGCATTTCTACACATTAATCTAGACGTATATGTACGGGGTGTTACACATAGTTTCCTAAGGGAGAAAAAATTTGTGAAATGCACAACTGAACTTGGAGTATATGTAGAAGAAGAAGAAGAAATAATGAATTGCTTATACTATGTCTCTATGTCGATGATTTGTTGATAACAGGTAGCTGCAAGAAAGAGATCGAACACTTCAAATGTGATCTCAGTAAGGAATTTAAAATGTATAATCTGGGTGATATTTCATATATCCTTGGCATCAAATTCTACAGGAGTAGTAGAGGTTTGATGATGCATCAAAGAAGATATGTAGGAGAAATTTTCAAGAGATTTGAGATGGAAGAGTGTAACTCGACTTCGACACCTACAAAACCAAGGTTGCAACTATCGAAAGATGCAGATGAAGATGATATCAACCCAACCCAATTTAGAAGACTTATTGGGTCCCTAAGCTACCTTTTTTCACACAAGGCTTAACTTAGCATACAATGTAGGTATGGTGAGTAGATTCATGCAGAAGTCAAAGGTATCACACCTAGTAGCAGTGAAGAGGATATTGAGGTATCTGAAAGGAACTCTTGACTATGGCATTTTATTTCCTCCAGCTGATAAAGGAAAGGAATGCAAGTTAGTGGGGTACACTGATTCAAGTTGGTGTAGTGATGCTGATGATCGAAAACCTACACCAGGATATATGTTCAGGTTAGGTGATGCACCGGTTGCTTAGAGTTCGAGAAAAGAACTAGTAGTGGAATTATCATCGTGCGAAGCAGAGTACATAGATACTTCTCTTTGTGCATGTCAAACAACAAGGATGGTGAACTTGGTCGAAGAGATAATAGGGAAAGATCATAGAGTAATTACCATGAAGATCGACAACATCTCAGTTATCAATCTGGCAAAGAATCCAATAGCACATGGTCGACGCAAGCACATCGAAATGAGGTTCCACTAACTTCAAGAGTAGGTAGCAGATGTGAAGGTGAACTTGGAACACTACAGAACTGAGAATCAGATTACAAACATTATGACGAAGGGTGTGCAGGTCTAAGTGTTCAGAAGACTAAAAACTATGATGAATATAGATAGCTTAGACACAATGAATTATGTGGTGTGTCGAAAGTGTAATTCCTTGTGTTGAAGAAGGTTGTTGCTCGAACACAAGGTGTGTCAAAATTAGTTTGTTCAAGTGTGTCGAGTTATAGTTGTCGAAGTGTTGTAAGCAGATTGCTGCACAGACTTGATTTAGGTCTGAAATAGATATTTTGGGCTTTTAGAGTTTTGGGCTTTTTGGCTTAGGGAGAAAGCAAACTCAATTATAAATAGAGGGAGTAACCCCTATTTTTGTAATCAATTCATTCATTCACAGTATTTGTAGTTTTAAGTGAATAAATTTTTTCCATAGTTTGTGGACAAAGAGAAACTCTGCAGAAATCCTAAATCTATTTTCTTTTTTAATTTTATTTTTTTTTCATCGTTATTGTGAGTAATAATAATCTTGTTCATCAAGATTGATAGAAACTCATCATAGGTTTTAGTGGATTTCCATCAAGAAAGAGATTTTTATAACGCGTTGGTTAATGCTAAGAAAATATCAATTGAATCGAATATGACTCCAACATTTTCTTAAAGGCGTATAATTAAAATAATCAGACTGTTTGATGAGAATTTGAATATCCTAGCAGTTGAAGTATCTGAAGCGGAATATTTCAGGATTAATTATTTTCTTTATCTTATTGATCAAGTTATTGTTTCTCTTAATAATAGATTTGACCAATTCCAAGAGTATGAAAATATTTTTTTTCTTTCTTGTTTACTTCTCACAAGTTAGAATCATTGGATGATGCAACTTTAAGTCTTGTTGTAATAATTATGAATGAGTATTGAAACATAATGGATAATATAATATTGATGGGAATGAATTTTTTATGGAGTTAAAATTAGTAGGAGAAGTATTGCTTGATACATTGTTATTTTCTAAAGGATTTGATTGTTTTCTTAATACATTTATTGCATATAAAATTTTATTAATTTTTCATGTGACAGTTGTTTCTGCAGAAGAAAAAAAGTTTTTTAAAATTGAATTATTAAAAAGTTATTTCTAGAATATGAAGAGTTAATGAATTGAAATGATAGTACTCGAAAATGATATTTTGGACATAATAAAATATAAAGATTTAATAGATGAACTTTCTTCAAAAATCATTAGACGAATGAGTCTTTTTAAATAATTAGAAACTTTGGGTGCGTTTGATTTACTAAAAAAATGAGGGATTAAACATAATAATTTTTCTTGTATCATGTTTAATGCAGAAATTAATCAGGAGAGAGATAAAATATGTGTCAGGAGACCGGACAAAAACATGATTTTTTATCCCTCAATAAATTACGTGACAACTTTTTGTCTCAAACACAAAATATCAATAACTATCAAAATATCATCTTTTACGTATCAATAAAGAATATTATATAAAAAATATTATATAAAAAATATTATTATTGTGTTCAATATATAAACTTATCAATTAAAATAGATTAAAAAAATTGTCAAGTGCCTCAATTATAAAAACACAGTATAGTACAAAAAAATTATCTTGTACTATTTTGTTTGGTCCTTATCATTTTGCAACTCAAACATACTTATAAAATGATATTAAAGTTTAAATAGTTAATAATAATTGTATTTTTTTGTAATTGTTAATTATTAAATTTTTTTATTTAAATTTAAGTCGTTTTTTAAATTAGAATAGAGTCAGTAGAATGATTAGTTGACACTGCATATGGATTGAAGGGGAAAAAAGGGAGTGGAAGATGGATAAGGATTCAGGACCAAGAGTTTGTTGATACCATTTGTGAAATATTGAAAGTTCTGTTCATTGATTTGATTCTTTAAAATACTTACAAAAATAATCCTTCTAATGATTCTCAACAATTATGAGTAATAATTTCTAATAATCACGGTTAATCATTAATTATAATTCTAATAATTACATTTGCTTATTCTAACCGTTCATAATCATTTTTAATAATCAAATTTACTTATTCTATTAATTTAAGTTAAAATGTTTAGACATTTTGGTTCTTTTGACTACGATTGTAACTTCCTAGAGTTAAGGAATACAAATTATAAGCATTAAATAAAATTTACTTAGAAATACAGAATCTGTAGAGCATATTTTAAACAAACATAATATCTCACAATATATACACTGCAATTACAAGATACTTATTTAGGCAAACAAACTTACCTAATTTATATTTTAGCAAAACACCTTAATAATAGTAATAATAATAACAAAGCACTCAATCTACTCATTTTGCATGACATTTTATAGTATTGGTTGAAATTCACATGAACTTTATTAATTCATGTTGGTCACATTTCTAAACTTGATTCAGATGTGAATTTCAACTAATAATAATGCAAAATGTTAGAGAATGCGATGTTAACAATTATCATACAAGAAATAATTAGTATAGTATACAATACATATTTATTCATCGATAACACGTAGTCTTTTTGAAATCTTTAGGCACATTTGAATTTAGGAGGAACGGTTTTTTGACAAGCACTAATGATCAAGCTGAGATCAAGAGGTATGTTTAAGTTGATTCCAAGCACATTCGCCTTGAGTGCGATACAAAGACAGACTGTGGCTTCTAAATCAACCAATTTGTCGATTAATGCACAACATTTGCTACCCAATGGAGGTTTTCCGATAGTAATTAATCCTAAGAGATTAGCACAAACCCCTAACTTTAAAGTGTCTATGGGGCATTGACCTTTGGGTGAAGGTGTTGGGCTTGGTGATGGTGATGGTGATGGTGGAGCAGTAGGGCAAGGAGTTGGGTTTGGTGATGGTGGAGAACTTTGATGAGCATAAGAGAACATTGTTGAGTAAGAAAGAAGAGAAAGCACACTAATTATGAAAGACAATTTGTTGAAAGCCATGAGTAAGAAACAAGAGAAAGCACACTAATGTGAACCCTTATTTATAGGGGAAAAAGTGTGTGAGGTGGTTGATATAAATGTTGAAAGAATCACTGTATGTGATAAAACCTATTACTAAGTGCGACCCCACTACTAAGTTGCACACACCAATAATATCATTCCATATACATTTACATAGCTTCAATATAAAACAAATAAAAATTCTTTATTGAACATGTTGTATAATTTTATGAGACTAAACAATAAAAAAAATATAGAACAATCGTGATATTGAGAATATAAAAAATATCAATAAAAACTAGTATATTGAAAAAGAAGAAGATATCACAAAAAAAAAACAAGTGGATCAAGTCAAAACCCACTCAGAAGAAAGTAAACTTATACAAAGGAACTCCAAACCTATTTTTTTCAAACTAACTTCTAATATTCTAGAAAACTGTTGAATAATTGCAGGATAATAGATCTAAGGTCTAGATTGGTAAAGAAAATCCGCAAAACTATTGCACTTCTCAAATATATGAAATAATAAAAATGAGTTGAGAAAAAAAAAAAATATATATATATATATATATATATATATATATATATATATATATATATATATATATATATATATATATATATATATATATATATATATATATATATATATAGTCTTACATCGATTATATCATGTAATTATATATATGTTATAATATAATAAAATCTTCGTAGTATTTTTCAAAACACGTGATTTATGTCTCTTAGTCTATCATGTTTTAACATGGTATTCAGAGTCTATTGAAAAATAATCTTCCATTGTATTTTACTCGGTTAACCCACTGTCTTTCGATGAGAAATTTTTTACAAACTGTGTCATAACTTTGATTTGTCTTCCATACACTGCCATGATTCATTTCAACATCAGTTTTCAAATTTCTCAGTCGCCGCCGCTACTGTTTACGACAAACTTCTGACAAATTAACTCTACCGACAGAAGTGCCTCCTCTGATCCAGTCGAACCCGACAATTTTCTACCGCCCCACTCACCACCATGTAAATGTTTCAGATTCGGTCTAAGATTTTATTTCCACTCACGAGAAATTGTGATTTAGTTCAAAGAGATCCTTTTCACCTAGTTTTGTGTGATATTTTCTCTTTTCAAATACTCATGACTACTAGGGGTGTTTGCGGTTCGACTTATATCAGTTTTAGATAAAAACTCATCTGATCCAAAAATTACTCGCAGTTTAATTTAGTTTGGGATGGTTAATAAAAAAAATCAAATTCGATTCGATCCAATTTCATGGAGTTTAATTTGGATCGTTTTTTGGATATTCAAATTACATATTATATTTCTTTATTAAGATTAGAAAAATATTAATAAATAATAAATTAGATATAATATATAATATATATAAAATTAATATTAAAAAATAAAAATGATTGATTATAGTTAAAAACAAATGAAATAATAAAAATAAATAGATTAAATTAAAATAATAAATAGTTTAAAAAAATAAGTATCATCGAATAATAAATTAATACAACATATCATATTAATAAAAAATTAAATATGTATTAAAATATATATGTGCGGTATAGTTTGGTTTGGATCGATTTTTAAAAATCAATTCGAAATTCGATCTAAACCAGTCCGTTTTTATAAAATGACATCCAAACACATTCAATAATATTCATTTTTTGCGGTTTACGATTTTTTAGATTGATTTGTAGTTTTTATTTGGATCGGTTTGAATTTGAATACCCCTAATGACCACTCCTCAGAACTTTACGCCAAACTACGAGAATTTTCTCAGGTGATATCATAATTATCAGAATTTAGATCATACTGCTTCGGTTGCACACACAGGTAATTTATCAGAATCCAGATTCTACTAGTTTTACTATTTTCTTGTACTTAAATATCATCTAGGGAGTGAAATTATGAGAAAGTTGTATATGAAAAAAAATTAGATACAATTCTTTAGGTGTGATTTTACTATTTCCAATGAAAATATGATAAATGTACCTAAATATCGTTTAAGGAATGAAAATAAGAGAAAATTGCATATGCGTAGGAAGAAATTATACATTTGTCATATTTTCATTCAAAAATTGTAAGAACGATACCTAAAAAGTTGTATCTAAGTTTTCTCAAAAAGTAAATCCTCTAAAATCATTCCCATTTAAAATTTATCTTCTTTTCAACCAATCTTTTTTTTTCAAAGTCTTCTCCTTCATCATCCTCCAAACTCTCAAACAAAATCTTAAAAGATTGTCCCTATGATCATTTATACTATTATAAGGGACAAAATTAATACACCAGTATTATTTTAGTGAACAACTTTGGTAGTTACATTTTTTTATTTTTGTTAAAACAATATATAGGGTTAAGAAAATGATTTCTAAGTCTTACGGAAATGAAGATTGTAAATAGGCATGCAGCATGCTCGTGGACAATTATGAAAATAAATTGTTATTGTTCTAGATTGACTCTATTCTTATCCCAAATATCATATAAGATCCAATCCAACTATACTGCAGGAGAGGACTAGCATGAGTGAGTGTGTCCTTGACAATGTCTGGCGGTGATTCCACTCCGCACGCCGTAGACATATGCTCCGAAGACATCTTCGCCACATGACCGTCGAGGAGGATCATGTAAGTCTAAGAGTGCCTAAGAGGGGGGGGGGGGGGGTGAATTAGGTATATAAAAATTTATTCGGTTTTATGAGAATACTTGTAGTAATTTGTGGTTAAGTGTTTGAAGGTTTTTGACTATATCTTATCTTTTCTTGATTATGGTGATGAAAACGATAAAAGCGGAAAAGTAAAGAACACGGCGATATATCATGGTTCCCCTCACAATCCAAGAGTACTCCAGTCCCCTTTCCAACACGAAAGAGATTTCACTATAGTTTAGAATGATTGTACAGTCTATGCTTACTATCTAACCTATAGGGTGACCAAAGGTTCTTAACACCTTTAAGGTCAAACAAACACTAATGTGAATGAAGAACAATCCTCTTCAAATCACAACACTTACTTCCAACAATCCTGGATAGTAAGGGAATACTTTCTTTTTGTAATACAATGATTTATTTGAAAGAGATGGAGAGCACTATCAATCTTTGATTGATCTTCTTCTTCAAGAAAGAAACAATTCTCAAGCAATGATTATAAATGTTCACAATGAATGTATGAAACTTGTAATGATTTCTTAATGAAAATGTATATGGCAAGTTTCACAAAATTTATGATTTGTAAGAACACTTGAAAGTTTGTAAGAATATGCAAATTTGAATGATGAAAATTGTTAATTGAAGAAGGTTATTTGAATTTGAAAATCTGCACAATTTATAATGTCACAAATACCTCTTCATTCATGCCATTTGATATGAAAATATGCAATGCAATCATGAAAGAATACCATTTGAATTATGTTAAAAAAACAAAAGAAAATCTGTACTGGTTCGCTGGGAATCGGTTCCGACCCAGGCAGAACCCGGTTCCTAGTGAACGTTATAACCCAGAATTCAAAAATAACACGCAGGAACCGGTTCCCCTATAGGTACAACCCGGTTCCTGGTACAAATTCAAGGGAAGTGATTTTTGAACAAGTTTGGAACCCGGTTCCCTGTTAGGTAGGAACCGGTTCCTGAAAGTTTATTTTCAAAAAAAAACCTTTTGAAAAAGATCTCAAACATAGTTTTTCTTATTGTTAAAAATGTGGGATATGTATATGATTATGAATGCATATTTGTGAACATCTATATTCAAGTTTAAGAATTATTTATACCTTTTGACATTTATTGTTTCTTTAATAATTCTCCTTCTAATCTTCAAGACTTGTAACATGGTTTTATATGATATTGATAAACTTTTTGCACATCCTTTGAATGTTGATATCCATGTTGTCTTCATCAAAACCAATGCTTTAAACATGACTTGAGAAGTTTGCAATTACAGATCAACAATGCTCAAGAGGTCCTCGCGAGCACCCTCCTGGTAGGGAAGACACCCAATTCCTCTGAATATCATGGAGTCCTCTTGACCCCGAAAAGACTGCATCCACGTCTCTCTGATAGTTTGGAGTTGTTCATTCAGGATGGAGACCACGTGCTGGTCTCTATTACACACGTAGGTCCTGACAGTCTCCATTGATGCCTCTTTAGTCAGCCCAACATGGGGACCTTGGCCATGTATTCATTTATTCATTCATTCATTCACTCACTCACTTGAGAGGGCCAGATATTCATCCTTTCATTCACTCACTCACTTACTACAGTACTTGCACTCTAATTGCACTTATTCTTACTTTGGCATCAGAGTACATTGCAAGTACATCCCCCTCCGCTTCACTCAATTTTGTACCCTAAATTTTGCCCTCTCATTTCTGAAGTGATTTCTTACAAGATCTCCTTTGATTCAAGATTGCACAAGGGTTGATCAGCTCAAGACACCTCCTTAAGCACTGATGACTGAAAATTATGGTTTGAGATTGCACAAGGACAAATGGACTTTCAATGCCCCATATGACTTTCATGGATCATTTTGTACCCTCAAGATTTCTCATGTCAAGTTTCATGTCTTGGATCACATTTCTACTCAGCCAATTGATCAATTGACCTAAAATCAACTTTATTGGGGAAAAAGTCAATTGTGGACAATTTACAGTCAAACTTCATAATTTTTTATCCATATCAACATCATGAACTCATATATGTCATTTTATCAATTTTGGATCACAATTCCTCAAGAAATTTGATCAGATCATCAAAAGGACAAAATGGTCAAAATTAGGGTTTTGACTAAGGAAGTGCAATTCCTGATTTTTGACCTAGCAAATGACTTGTTGGTTTGAGGAATGATATCAAGGTTTCCAATACTTCATCTTGACATAATGGCATGGCTCAAAACATATCTCAAGATCAATTGATTGACAGATGAATTTCAGTCAACTGATGAAAAGTCAAGTGTACACTGAAAAGTTAAACTTGGACTTTTTGGTCAAAATC